AACTCCTAACTGGTGAGCGTTCACTACATCTCAACTTCTTCAGGCCCACCATAATGCATTCCGGCCATCTCCCTGTCAGACCACCATGCACAAACCACTCTTCACTCCCCATTTAAAACATACCACCAACAAGATAATGTCCAAGACAACTAACATAAAATGTTGTATTTTTGAGGGAGATAGTTTAAAGGCTCAGACTGGTCTTAATCTATTAGCGTCTCTCCTAAATAGAACTTAGCATGGCTTCCAAACGGAAGGAATTGAGCCAAAGCATTTTATTAACCATGGGATGGATAGAGATGACATCAGACTATGCGGCTCCACCAGAAACAGACTAAACAGCTCTTCTGTCTCCTGAAATCTCTCTCTAATGATATTAAAATGTCATTTGGACTTGATAAGTGTAAAAATTCTGAACTTATGCCAAGGAAAGGTAAGAGACTGAAGGCTTGAATCTATCTGGAGGTCACAGTGAACCAATGGATGAAGGTGACACCTACAAATACCTTGGGTCTCTTTCAGGCAAAACACATCCAGAATAAAGCCATCAAGAAGGCTGTGGATGAACGTTAGAAGACTTACTGGCATCCTGAAATCAAAGCTGAATGAGATGAACACATTTAAAGCAATTCACACCTACATATTATCGGTCTTCACGTAAATCTTTGGAATTTTATGATGGACCTGGAACACATCATAACAAAAACTCACATAATGTTAACAAAATATGGGGTGCATCACCCTAAGGCAGCTATACAGAAGATTAACATTTCTACTTCTAAAAAGGAGGAACATGATTGAAAGGCATTCATGGAGTAAGAGGAGCTCATTTGTGTTCTGGTACCAAAAGAGGAAAAGACACCCGGAACAAGTCAGAAATACCAAATAAACTACGTGCTGGAAATTCTTTGGAGCAGAGCAAAAGCCCACAATTATGAGGTAAAAAAAACCAAAACCTACAGCAATACTTTTGGAATAGGCAGATACCACTTTACAAGGCAAACAATAAAGGATGATAACAGTTATACACCACTGGATTTGTCAAATGTAACTGAAAGTGGCTTACCTCTCAAAACAGCCTATGAAACCATTGAGATCCATGATGGCAATTAAAAAGCCCATGAGTGACAACTGCATGAACTCAGCCAGCGCTATGCTGACAAAGAAACATCAAACAAATGGCTGAATCAGGCAGGTTTGTTTATGAAAACAGAGAGGGTTATGACAGCAATTTAGGACCCAGTCACTGCCACTACATACTACAGAAGGATTATCCTCAAGGAGCCCAGACACCATGATTGATTTTCAAAAATTACTCTGAACTCAATCAACAACTCCATATAAACAGCAGAAGGAAAAAAGAGCACTGCACAGGAAATCGCAAATTTCCACCACATGCAAGTTTGACCAATGTAAATTATGCAAGGAAAGGGCGGAAACAGTACCACACATCACTGCAGACTGAAAAATTTAGGACCTACTGAATACTTAAGAAGAGTTGGCCTGGTAGCTAGAATTGTATATCAGAAGCTTACTATATTTCATGGATTGACAGATTTTAAAAATCCCCATCCTACAAACTCACACCTCAACATATCAGCTGAAGATATCAATGGAGCAATAAACTAACCAATAAACTGCACTGGAACCAACCCATTACCACAAACCAAACTCTTGTCCACGATCAGTCGGACAGAACACTGATTCAGAAAAATTTAAGAACAATGTTTTTCAATAGATGATGCCATCTTAAATATCCACAATCTCCAAGTTGTTTGGAGCAGAAAGTTATTCAAATATAGAAATTTGGCAAAAGAGATCAGAACCACGTGGGCGTAGCCTGAGGTTTGTCTCAACCCCATCACTCTGTTGGCTGCTGGAGTCGTACAGAGGATGCTCGCAGTGAGTCTGCAGAAGATGAGCGCTGATCCCAGCAAGAGCCCGGTTTTCTGAATGAAGCTCTTCCTGACCCCTAGTTGCCAGCGCTCTCCCTCTCAAACCACTTTGGGTTTCTTTAACTACCTGCTACACAGTGGTATTTAATCACTTCATATTTATGCTGTATCTGTTTATATAAGTGCTTTTCTCCCCCATTAAAATGGAAGCTTCTTTTGAAGAGGGACCGTTTTGTTTTTTGCCCTTTTATCCTCAGGGCCAAGCATAGAGCTGAAGTACAACAAACAGTTGCTTTTGTAGCAGCTTGAGAGGCGGTGTGGTATAGTGGATAGAGTTGGCCTCAAAACCAGGAGGACCTGGGTTCAAGAACCACCTTTGACACATCCTGGCTGTGTGGCCCTGGGCAAGTCATTTCACCTCCCTCAGTGCTCTGTGTTTCAGAGAAGGCGCCAGCATGCACTGGAAGGGTCCATGAAATCACAGGGCCAATTTAACCAACCCCAACAGCTCAATTGTGCTCTTGGTCGTGGGCCTAGGATGTCTCTAGGACGCACCTGCATGGCTTCTGGCAAACCACAAGGGCCTCCCTGCTTTGCATGCCAAGCTAAAACACCAAGCTTATGACAACAGTCCCAGAAGGAACCATGCCACTGGAAAGAGAATTAACAACAACAAAAATCTCAAAATCACTGATGCAGAAGGACCATAACTGTAGACACGGACACTTAATTTTTCCAATCTTCCTCAATATCTGTTTTCAAAGTGTCAACAGAATGTGTGGGTTTCCCTGACCATCCTTCCCGGCCAAGGCCGGGCTCAGCAGACTGTGCCATGGCCATCCCCAACAGCTGCTGGGATGCACCTTCAAATACGTGGCTGCAAAATGCAAGTCTATTTGTGCTTCAAAATCCAGATTATTTACATAGTCCGAGACATCCCTGAGCTGAGCTGATCCTTTCAAAGGCAGCCCATTGATAGAAACAGACCTTTAATCATAGGCAGGGATGATACAGAGGAATGAATGAGCAGAATTCCTAAACTCTGTATGAAAAGAGCTAATATGTTATCGTGGATAAACTGCCCCGTGTTATTTAGGCCAAGATTCAAAGGGCCTGACTCTGAGGGAAAGGAAGGGTAGAGAGGGTTTAAGAAATGACTGTAAATGAAGTAAATGAGAGAAAGAAGAGGAAAAATCTAATAACCACAGGAGAAAATAACATGCGCGTCTATGACGAGCCAGTTAAGTAGAACTGACTGCTTAACATTTCCTACCTTCTAGTAATCACATCCAGTGTCTGGCACACTGTGGAACTTTGATTCTGAAATGTCAGCCCTGGCTTGCCCTGGGTCGATGGGATCTGGGAACACCAGAAGGGTTCCTCAGCCCATGAAGGAAAAGGGGCAAGTTAGCAGCTAAACACCAGAGTAGAATTAGAGTAGAATCATGCTTCTGTCTCATGACTGTGAATCAGATCCAAGTGGCCAGTCAGTTCTGGTTTAACCTAAAAGATAACTAGCCCAACAAGGTCACAACACAGAGAGACTGATATGATACACGAAAAGTGCAATCCACATTACTCTTCTGGAGACAAAAATCATAGTCTGGAGACAGCGATCTCAAAAGTCCTCAAGCCTAACTCAAAAACAACTGAGAATCTTCTCTAGAATAAATGCCGCGTGGCCCCTCGGGCTGTGTTTGAGGACCACCAAGGAGGGGCACTTCCTGCAGCAGCCACCCCACTTCTGGACAGTCCAAAAAAGGAAGGTAGTGAGCTTTCCCTTACTTGGAGATGACATCAACCTCAATGGATCTTGTACCCATTCTCCTGGTTCTGGGCTCCAGGGCCAAGAGCTCCACTTCTGCCACCTTGGTTCCGACGGCCATCAGCCCCGGCCTCCCAACTGGCCTCCCTGCCTCAAGTCTCTCCCCATTCCAGTAGAGGCTGCATGCTGCTGCCAGCACTGATCTGACTGCGTCACTTCTCTACCCAATTAATTCCAGTGGCTTGCAGAATCAAACGTCAGCTCCCCTGTTTCGTTTTTAAAGCCCTCCCCAACCAAGCCGCAATCTAGTTTCCCAGCTTCACCAGACATCATTCCCCCAACACACCCTGAAAATCCAGCCAAACCAGCCTTCGCTCCCTCTGCTTGTCACTCAGGATGCTCTCTCTCCCCTCTCCATGTCTTCGCGTTGGCCATCCCCCCTGCCAGGAAGGCCTGCCCTCTTACCCTCTGCCTCACAGAATCCTCCCTTCCTTCAGGATGCTCCCCCCAACTGCTAGAGCGCGCCCCCCCCCCCCAGCGAGCTTGTACTTAGCCACACTGCCCATACCTGCATTCATTCATCTGATGTTCAGTGCTGTATGTATGTACAGAGGTACTTATCGTCTTCACCATTGAAAGAGAAGTTGCCCTCATATATATGTGTATGTGTATGTATGTATACACAGATACACATGTGGGTATATATAGATACATGCATGTATATATAATATGTATACGCGTGTATAATGTGCACACACACATACCTGCATACATGTATAAAGTTCCCTATATACATAAAATTTAAGTGAGTAGGACCTTTCATTATACTTGTATCCTCAGTACCTAGCACAGAACCCCGCACATAGTAGGGGCTTAATAAACACTTGCTGGATCGAGCATGGTCCCTTCTCTTTTTAAGGCTAAGTGTACCCCATTCCTCCAACCGATCCCCACATGGTAGTCCCAATTCCCAGCCCAGTTGGTCAAGCTCCTATAGTTTGGTGGATTCTCTTCTTCCAAATTTGTAGGTGCTCTGGATTCTTTATTTTTGTTTGTTTTTTTTTTTTTTTAAAGATAACACACTCTCATCACTTCATAATTCATCCTCAGGTTGGAGGGATTTTCAGTCCATACTTTAATCACTTTCAAAAGATGCATAGGACAAACCATATTTAAAGGGGAAAAAAAGCATGCTGGTGGCAACTTGATAAAACAAGTCGCATTGTGCACCTTATCAAATGGCCAGTGGCCTCTTCAGAGCACACACGTGGTAAGCAAGGCTTTACCGATGGAATCACCACCCCGACCTCCCAGCGGCCTCCGCGGTCTGGGTGGCTTACCTCACTGTGGACGTTCCAGCTGTCGACTGTGACGTTGAAGAGGGCCTTGAGGGCCTCGATGGCACAATCCGTCTCTTGCGGGGACAGGGGCGGCCCGTTGTGGTCGATGGCCGCCTCGTACTCATCAGTCCACTTGATGCTGAAGGCGCTCTCCAGGGCCTGGGTGAGCAGGGGCAGCCCCTGCAGCTCGTACCGGAGCTGGGTCCTGATGTCGGCGTGCAGGAGGGACAGAAGGAAGAGCAGGCGTAGGTCGAAGCACTTAATGTCGCTGATGACCTGCTGATCCTTGCACTTCCGCAGCAAGTTACACAGCATGGCGGCCAGGTTGAGCTCCAGGCTGAGCTTCTGGGCCATCTGGCTGTTGAACACTATGTTGCACAGGCATTTCAGCGATTCCACGATGACCGGGAAGTCTGCCGCCTCCTCCAGAGAAGCCTCGGAGTCGTCCAGTTTGGCGAGCCTCATCAGAATCTGCATGTTCTCCTTGGTGGTGACGGGAACGAGAACCTTTTTGTCCCGGGAAAGGATGCGGAGGGCTTCCAGACAGGTGACTTGGCATGATGTCGTGATGTCTTTCTCCAGGACCTTAAATATCCCTTCACATAGTTTCTGAAAAAATAAGCAAGAGGAAACAAAAACAAAAGCAGAATTTCAGACAAAGGATTTTAAAATATAATTGTAACCTGTTGAAGTTAACATCCACAGCTAAGGGTTCGTGTTGTCTAAGACCCCCGGTCACAAACTTGCTTTCAATTTATTTCAGACCCATTTCTCTTGATTTTCACCCAAGAAGGAAAATTTTATGTAGATTAAGTGAGATCAATGTAAAACATAGCTCCTTGTTTTCCTCCCAAACCTCACCAGGAAAGATGGGTATCTCTTTAGTGATAAATCAAGAATTTCTACACACAGACCTGCCTCACGGAACATCAAACCAACCAAAGTCTCTTCAGCACATTATAACCAATGCCAGCCTTACAACCGGGAGACCTCATGCAGCTCATCAGCCATTTATAACACTGCCGTCACAAAGTAACTTTACCTTATAATGTTGTTTCATCTTATGCCATGTTTCCATGGGCCAGTAACAAAGTTAGTCCTCTATATCCATATGGAGACAATGCTTCCTAAAACTAGAGCTGAGAGGGACCTTAGAAATCATCAAAGTCAACCTCTTCTTTTTACAGGAAAGGAAACTGAGGCCCATGGAGGTGACTTATCCAAAGTCACACGGGCAGTAAACATCAAAGTGGGGTATTTGAACCTGGGTCTTCTCATGCCATTGAGAAGTGTTGAGTGAGCAGAACCAAGAGAACATTGTACACAATAACAGCCACGTTGTGTGATGACTAATATTGATAAACTTAATACTTCCTGGCAATACAAGGATCTAAGACATCTCCAGAGGCCTTGTGATGGCAAATGCTATCCACATCCAAAGAAAGAACCATGGAAGTTGAATTGCTATTTTTTTTTCTCTTCTGTTAAGTTTTGTTTCCTCTTTCTGATGATTCCTCCTACTGGTTTTAATTTTTACTTACAACATCACTAATGTGAAAATATGTTTAATATAAATGTAAACATATAGCCTATATCAGATTGTGCGCCATCTTGGGGAGGGTGGTGGAGAGGAAGGGGGAGAAAAATTTTAAACTCAAAAGCATATGGAAGTGATTATTGATAAATCAAAATAAATTAATAAAAAAAGAGAGAAGTGTTGAACATATTAGTACAGGAAGCAGGATTATTCTTGGCCACCTGAAGAAACTTCCAGAATCAAGGATGCAGGAGCCCTCAGAGGCCCTGGAGTCCAATCCCCTCATTCTTACAAAGGAGAAATGCAGGGCTCACAAGGTAACACAGATAGTGAGGAGCTTGGACATCAGTGGCATTTTAAAAAAAATCTGTTGTCTACTTTTCTATTATTCATATTTTTTGGGGTTTTTTTGTTTGTTTTTTGTTTTTTGCCTAGGTAGTTAGGGTTAAGTGACTTGTCCAGGGTCACACAGCTAGTAAGTGTCAAGTGTTTGGTCTGAGACTGGATTTGAACTCAGGTCCTCCTGACTTCAGGGCCAGTGCTCTATGCACTGCGCCACCAGCTGCCCCCTATTACTCATATTTTCAAATGAAACTTGGGAGTCCTTTCTTCTCTCTGCTATAGCAGAAAACTATCACCTTGAAAAAGATGTGTTCAGTACTGTTTATTATCGAACAGACTTATGTAGGTGAAAATGAAACTGTATACTTAACAGCACATCTATTATCTCTTCCTTCTCCAAGTTAAAAATAAATTGCAGGTGCTGTGACCTCCTTCCCCCCTTCGCTGCCAGAGCCCCCCAAGAAAGGAAGACCAGACCAAGGGGCAAAGGCAGGAAGCCTGATGGATGGTGGCTCTCTTGAACAGGATGGAGATACCAGGAAGAGATCAGAGAATCTTCATGACACCCACAAAAGTGATGGTCAAAGGCCAGCCCAATCCCACAGCTCTCACTCACAAGGTTACCCAGCAACCAAAGGCAGGAGACGTCTAACCGTCTACCTGCAGCTGCTAACACTGTTCTGACTTTAACATGCAATCTCACAGAACTTATCAAAGTATTCAGCTTCAGAAGCCCATAGGTTGAGACCTTCCAGTGTTGAATTACAAGAGAGGAAGAAAACTCAATGGAAGAAACTTTTCAAAAAAAGTTTCATTTGCAGCCTAATGTCCATAGTAGAGGCTTCTGACCTTTCACTAGCAAAGAGCTACTCTGCTAGATACCTGAAGACTCACCATAAGTTAGGACTGGAGAGCACTGACAATTCATCATGGAGGAGGTCCATTTGGGATGGGGGGAGGTGAAGGAAAAGGGGAAGAGAAGTTTCTACTTGGGAGGGAGTGGTTTCTGGCTACCATGTTTTCTTGAAACCTAAACATCATCAACATCACCATCATCATCACCATCACCATTATCATCACCATCACCACCATCATCATCACCATCACCACCATCATCATCACCATCATCACCATCACCACCATCATCACCCATCACCATCATCATCACCATCACCACCCATCACCATCATCACCATCATCACCATTATCATCACCATCACCACCACTACCATCACCATCACCATCATCACCATCATCATCATCACAGCTAACATTTATATAGTACTTACTATGTACCAGGTACTGTGCTAAGCACTTTACAACTATTATCTCATTTGTTCCTCACAGGTAGATGCTATTATCCTCCTCAATTTACAGATGAGGAAACTGAGGCAAACAGAGACTAAGTGATTGGCCCAGGGTCACACAGCTCCTAAGTGTTTGAGGCTGAATTTGAACTCAGGTTTTCCTATCTCCAGGCCTAGAGATCTAACCACTGGGGACAGGCACTAGCCTGCAGTTAACCAGGCCAGACTCTGCAAGTGACCCATGAAGCTTGATCAACCAGATGGGAGATCCTGGCCTCTAGGACAATGTTCCAAGCTCAGGGACAGAAGAAGTCTAATAATAGTTCCTATCTTGCGATATGTGAGGCTGCTAGGGGCACAGAGCTGGGCCTGGAGTCAGGAAGACCTGAATTCAACCTTTGGCAAGTCACCTAACCTCTGACTGCCTCGGTTTTCTAAGGTTTGTAAAGCATTTTATTGATGTTAGCTCAATCAAACCTCAAAATAAGCTTGTGAGACATGTTGCTATTATTATCATTCCCATTTCCAGGTGAAGAAACTGAGGCAAACAGGTTAGACTAGTCCAGGGTGACACAGCTAGAGTGTCTGAGGCCCAGGTGTCTAGCTCTACTCCATGTACACTCCCGCACCCAGGAGTTTGGGGGAGCGGGGAAGGGCAGGGCTCACCCATGTGAGATTATAAACTGTGTGGCAAACCTAGCAAGTACATACACCAGAAGTGCAGAGAGGGGGCAGACCAAGCAGAAGAAATGAGAACTGAGGAATAAGGAAGATTGGGATTAGGAGGGGAAGGAGCCAGGGAAATGGAAGAAAAGCGGGCATTTCAGGCAGAGAGAACCCGAGGAAAAGCAGAGCCCAAAGGAGGCAGCTGCCCATGGACTTCTGTGCTCATCTGCATGATAATCAGCTTGGACCAGCTCTGGTCACTCTTGGAGATGGAAACGTTCTTTCTACACCCGCAGCATTCCAATTGGGCTTAGGCTCTTGGGCAACCTCCTACCTGCTTCCAGTTTCTTACTGACAAGTCAAAGAGTTTGGCAGAAATTATCGGGTGTCCAACAAAACCTGAGCCGCAGAAAGGATTCTCTCTGACCTCGAATCTGGAGAAAGGATTCTTCTCCAACAAAACCTGAGGGACAAAGACTTTCCTGTGCCTTGGTCTGTATAATGGGCACAGTGGTACTTGTGCTGCTATGAGGGCTGCAAGAATCACATGAGATAATATAAAGCCCAGATCCTTTTGATTCCCTTCCCTGTGTGCTGACAGAAAGGAAGCTTTATTAACTTAAGTAAAACATGACAAGGAAGAAGGGAACCAGCTGTAAATTACAAACATAAATAAACCAACAAAAAAGCCAGTTGTGGTACAGTCAAAGGAGATCAGTGACTTATCAGCTGGGTGATCTTGGGTATATCATTTCCCTCTTTAGGCTTCCGTTTCCTCATTTGAAAAAACGTGGGCATGGGCCTGGACAGTCGGCCCAGTGGCTGGCACAAAGTGAAGCTTCACCAAGTGTTCATCGACTCCGCAATGGTAACTCCCTCGATCTGATGACTTCTGGAATCTTAGCTGCTTTGACTCGTTCCCTCAGCACCAACAATGAGAGCTGAGCTATGGGAACAATTTTCACTCATCTGTTTTAGCGTTGAGTCATTTCAGTCACATCCAACTGGTCATGACCCCACTTGGGGTTTTCGTGGCCAAGATACTGGAGGGGTTTGCCATTTCCTTCTCCAGGATGTTTTACAGATAAGGAAACTGAGGCATACAGGGCTAAGTGACTTGCCCAGGGTCACACGTCTAGTAAGTGTCTGAGGCCAGATTTGAACTCAGTAAGATGAGTCTTCCTGACTTCAGGCCTGGCGCTCTATGCACTATGGCACCACCTAGCTGCCCCTTTCACTGCTGAGTCCGTGGTTACCATTTACCCATCATGAGCAGATGAACATGAACTCTGGTTTGGTTCAGTCTTGAAGTCAAACTTCATCATGTTGCTCTTAAAGCCAGAGTGGTATAAACGGAATAAAACAGTCCAAATTCTATGTATTAATGGAAGTCCATGGATTAAACGTTAATCTCTTTACCAAGCTGAAAATTTTAATTATTATTATTTTTTAGACTACAGGTCACCGTCCCAGCAATATCACCTGCTTAGGCCCACAGGTGTAGCGCTGGAAAGGCCTTCCGGGACCATCCTGCCCAACTCCCTTGTTTTCATCGGAGAGGTGGGGCAGCGACAGAGGACATCCTAGGATGATGGGAGGAGAGTTGGGAAGTGTCAGTACTGGAGAGGAAAAGCTCACAGCTCAAACAGAAATGGGGTCCAACTCAACTGTACGTAGGGATCCCTGCGGGCCACATATTTACTCGGAAACCGTGTATTCATATTACCTATATTCTACTGCTTTTGTATTTATCTTGT